TTTAGGCCATTCTGTGATTAAATAGATGTGTGTCTGTGTGGCTGTCAACAGAGTAAACTTCCATTTTAGTGCTGGTATACACTCATAGTACTGATGCTATCCCCAGGTGGATCTTTTAAACCAGGTTTTGATTGGCAAAGTGTCATTTCCAGGTTTCAGAAAGTGGTAAAAGAATGGGGAATATGTGAATGCAGACAGGGGCAAGGCTTTTCTGTAGGCTAATTGATAGGACCGTTGTCCTCCACTATTGATTCATAAATTTTGAAGACTGCTTTTTGTAAGAAAGTGCATCTGAAGTTACCAAGTGTTCTGGGCACTTCCTGTGGATAATTTTCAGAAGTATTATGCCAGCTGAACCGAACCCTTCAGCTGTTCTAAGACTCTCTGAACTCCTATATTCACTTGAATTATAAGTTGTGAAAATAATGATAAATGAACTGCAAGTTAAAATTTGTGGTTCTACACGTTTATAAGAAGATTTCATACTTTATTATCAAGCTATGGTAATACAATGTTTTGAAATTTGAAACAGTGTTAACACAGCGGCTTTTGTTATTTTAAAGTAACAGGATTTTTAAGGTCTCAATAGGGGATAAGAAAAGAGAAGCTTGTGTGTTTGAGAGCTCTTTTAGTGGTAAAACTGCATCTTCAGGCACCTGATTGTCATTCATAAATTTGTCCTTCAATTGCTATTCATTTAATTTGTGATATATGTATTCTTTTTGTGCACGCTTGCGTTTCGTGTCTTTCTGGATTCAAGTTGGAAGAAAATGCGTTTTATAAAATTTAATTAAAACTTGAGTTCATCTTCCCAAGCATAATGTGTATTGTAAAATATTAATATCTCAAGGGTTTTGGTGTGGTGGGGTTTTTTTTGTGTTTTGTTGTTTGGTTTTTTTTTAATAATAGGAGTTAATGTGTTTTGTAGGCATATTGCAGTATTCTCTACCTGAAGCCAACAATGCAGATCATTCTGCGAGGACAAAAAGTGAAAACACAGCTGGTTTCCAAAAGCCTTGCCTTCATTGAACGCGATATATATAGGCCAAAATTTTTGAATGTATCCTTTGCTAATATTTACATCATTGGATGCTGAATATATAGGATTTATGTAAGCTGTCAGCATGCTGCTGAATATGTTGCAGTTACACTGATGTGGGGTTTTTGATTTTTGTTTGTGAAGACACGCTAAAGGAATTATCTCAGTATAAAAAAATTACATGTTCCAGGACCCAGTTTAGAATGAATACTTGGTAACTATATTTTTGTGTTACATGAGATTAACCGGATTTTTCCTTAATATTTGATAAAAGGCTAAAACAGTAAGAATTACTTTTGGATTTAACTGCAGAAACAAAGATCACTATGGAATAATGATGTACCATAAAAACAGACTCATCAAAGCTTATGAAAGAGTTGGCTGTCAGTTAAAGGTAAGAAATTAAAGTTCAGAAATAACATCTTTGGAAATTGCACTCAAATGCTGATTTAGAAAAGAATATGGATGGGAACTAGGATATTCATGTATCCTTTATGAACCACTTTTTTTAGTTTGTGCAGCAGTTAAAAATTGTATTAAATTTATAGGCAGTTGTTTTAATGTTTGTTTTTGGAACTAGGTTTGATTCCCAAAGTATGAGCGTGAGTATATCTTTCAGGACAACACAGAGGTTGAACAGAGGATTTTTTTTATTTAGAGCGTTTGTGTTGAGAGCTTTTTGGAGTGGAGTCATAAGCCAGAAAATTGTCTTTACCTAGTATGCGTAGCTTATAATTACCTGTAACAAACCCTTGCAGTATTAGCATAAATATATCTTGCTTTTCCTGATAAATCTTTATTTCTTCCAGGCAAACAACATGGGTGTTGGTGTAGTTGGGATAATTGAATGCAACTTCCTAAAACCAACTCATAACAAACAAGACTTTGACTACACAAATGAATACAGGTAAATGTATGTTTTTATGTAGGCTTTCTGTTGAGTGTTGGTGAAATACTTGATGATGGAGATGACCTCTTTTCTAAATAGTAAGAATAAAAGATTATGTTCAATCATTAAATTAGAAGACTTCTGAACAGTAGGGGTGAGATATCATCTGCCTTCGTCATACTGTGCAGTCAATGAAGTCTAGAGTATCACACACACACATCATTTTAAAGAGAGTGCCCTGAAAGTGATTGTTTTCAGTTCTGCCCCTCACTGATTGTAAAATAAGCACAGAGTAACTCACTGAGATGTGGATAGTTGTATGGCACATGACTAAAATTTTGGTAAGTGAATACCACACTATTTCGCAACAATTTTTGTTTGGTATTTTTTTCAGTGGGAAAAGCTCCTCTGAATATTTTTGAGCCCTTCTTTTCAATCTCTTTCCTAAGAGTAGACTCGAATACCCTCAAATCTGCTACTTCCTGAAGTAGCCTAAACAGAACCAATTCTGTTCAGTGATTTTTACTCTTCAGCTCAATCTCTTCTAAAAGACTGCACTTTCTGAAGTTAACAACATGTTTTTTCAGACAGTTCTGCTACTAGAGGTGATAACACTTGATGTTTATAACAACTGACATCCTAAAGGAAGCAGTGATTTCAGACATTACTTTGCTTCAGTGTTTATTTCTAACTCGGGATTGCCACTTTTTCATGTATCTGCATCCATCCCATCAGTCATTGTCTAGTGTGATATTTTCTGTAGTTTAACTGTGAACCAGACTGGGAATCTAGCCTGAATTAAAATACTCACAGATGATGATTGTTTTTAAGATAGTTAAATTTCCTAGTTTGTTTACACTGCTCTGCTGTGAATCAGTTGTTGTGCTGGTGTTGTGGAAGGAGGAAAGGCTAGAAGGGATGAGTTACCTCTGAGCACTTTACAGGCTGAGGTGTAAAAACTGTCCAGGGAAGATTTCCTGAATAAAAACTTTGAGAATTGTTCTACTCTATATAACTTTCCTTTTTTGACAAAAAGGCTGCTTTGTGTTAAGGGATTTTTAGGAGCTCCCACCTCCTCCAGAAGTGCTGTTCCAGGACTCCCTCCTCCTCCTCCCCTTGCCCTGCCATTGGAGGCCAGGCTTGGGACCCAGGTTGGGGATCTGAGTTCTCTGCCCAGGCTGAGGGACATGACTGACGCTGTCCTGTTTGCAGGTTCAGCCAGTAACACAGTAGTTACGGTTTCTGGATCAGGAATAGTGTTGTCAGTAGGAGTAGAGAGATAAACTTGGCTTTGGTGAGACCACATCTCGAGTACTATGTCCAGTTTTGGGCCCCTCACTACAAGAGGGACATTGAGATGGTGGAGAGGGTACAGAGGTGGGCTACCAAGCTGGTAAAGGATTTGGAACATAGGTCCTGTGAGGAATGGCTGAGGGATCTGGGGCTGTTTAGCCTAGAGAAGAGGAGACTGAGGGGAGACCTTTTTGTTCTCTCCAACTACGTGAAAGGAGGGGCTTGGTCTGTTTTCCCCAGTGGCGAGTGATAGGACAAGGGGAAATGGCCTGAAGTTGCACCAGGGGAGATTCAGGTTGAATATTAGGAAGAATTTCTTTATTGAAAGGTTTATCAGGCATTGGAACAGCCTGACCAGGGAAGTGGTTGAGTCGCCATCCCTGGAGGTGTTAAAGAGATGGATAGATGTTGTTTTGAGGGCCAGGAAAGGTTGGACTCGATCTTGAAGGTCTCTTCCAACAGCAACCATTCTGTGATTCTATGGTAACAAAGCTGAGCACGTGTCCCAGAGACACACAGAGAACACTGACATGGCTGGTTACACAGACTGCCACAGACAAGGTGCACTTAAATATGGGACTCGCATAAAACACAAAGAGCCAAATCCCCTTCCTCTTCTTTGGCTGGTAGAGATAGAAGCTCATTGATGAAGGACCACACATGACACTCTGGGTTCACAAGCAGTTACACATTTGTGGATCCTCTGAGCACCAGCATAGTCCCTCTCTCCTGCTGGTACCACTGCCTGGATCCCAGGCTCTCTAACCTGCTTCACAGGTTACGTCACACATCAATATGGAGCATCTGTGGTATGAGTAAGTCCACCTGGGTATACCAGCGCAAACCCGTGCCTGCCTGATACCCCTGCCCGGACCTGGGACCTCCTGCTCAATGCTGAGTCAGTTTGTAGTTTGCTAGCAAATACATGTGCACGTGTCATGCACACTAAGACTGAGGAAGATGCAGATGCTTGACCTCTGCCAGCAGCTGGCATGAGGCATGTGGGCTGTCATCCACAATCCTACTCTAGCTGCAAGTGCTGAGCCCCTTGCTCTTGCTGGTCATAGAATCGTAGAATGGTTTGGGTTGGAAGGAACCTTAAAGTTCATCTAGTTCCAACCCCTGGCTGTGGGCAGGGACATCTTCCACTAGACCAGGTTGCTCAAAGCCCCGTGTTCTATCACTACACTGTCTCATAAAGAGTCCCTCCCCAGCTTTTCTGTAGGCTCCCTTAAGGTACTGGAAGGTTACCATAAGGTCTCCCTGGAGCCTTCTCTTCAGACTGAAGAGCCCCACCTGTCTCAGTGTGGCCTCAGAGGGAAGGGGCTCCAGACCTCTGGTCATCTTAATGGCCCTCCTCTGGACTCACTCCAACAGAACTGTGTCCAACTTATGTTGGTGGCCCCCAGAGTTCCCAGAAGCTGGTTTTTGGCAACACAGACTGTTCGTGCTTGGTGGGCAGCAGCTGAGAACACTCACTTGCTCCAGTAGCTGACGCCACACAGCTGGTCTGACTCCAGCAGCTGGCACCAAATCCACATACGCAGCTTTCAGCATTAGCTGGTCCTTAGTCCTTGCTATACACATACACAAGGGATAGAGCATGAGATTATGTAAAGGAAATATTAAATAAAAAAATACAATGAAATAGGGTAGACTGCAGTGATCAGGCAGACAACTGTACTGACCAAACCTGTTTCACGTGCAACCAGCTCCTTTTATACCCTTTTTTATCTACTCCTCTCTTTGTTCCTCACTCCTTCCCCTTCCCATGTGTATCCAGACATCCTGGACCCTGGGGTTTGCATCAATTGCAAAATCCCAGGTTGCCTGCAGTTAATTGATAGCCCATCTGTAATTGTGACTGACCAGGGTTGTTTCTGGTTATTGTCTTTGTTAATGCTAACTGGTCAGGTTTTATGACTGTGTGTGTTTGTCTCCTTCCATTTCCTTATCCTCCCAGCTGACAAAAATAAACATTCCCATGCTCCAGGTATCCTTACCAGTTGGTGTGACTGAGTGAGTTTGTTCTTATCGCTACCTCAGTCAGGTTTGTTTCTGCATGTTCTTATTTATAGCTCCTTTGATCCTAGGTCCTTTCCTTTTACGTGCCCTAACATTTGCTTTCAACATGGTCGTAGAAATTTAGAGTATTGACTGGGAAACATAAGTGGAGTAAACTTTGTCAGGAGAATTCATTACCTTTTTCAAGCAGCATATTTTACCCTTCAGCCATTTGTGGTTCAGCTTCCATGGGTAACCTAAACTGTCCATGCCTTTCCTGAATTGCTGGTTTATATGCAACTCTGAATAGAGATAACCCAGAAACCATACCAGAGTTCTGTTAATTCATCAAGGGGCTATAGCAAGGTAAATCTGGTTATTCCTCCTGTGAAACAGCAGTCCTCCTGGAGGAGGAGCAGCAAGCTTGAGAGCTGCTGTGCTTCCATCTGCCTGTATATTTAAACAGTACCCACAGTTCGTGCTGCTCTTTGTAGTGATATTGCCAGCTTATAAACAGTTCCTGTATTTCTACAACCGTTGTGCTAGTAGAGCTGTTGATGACAACACAAGATAGAACGGATCAGAGCATTAGTCAGACTGGAAAATAGCTCTTGTGTTGGTTCAGGGAACATCTGTGTTGGGGAAAAAAACCAAAACTATTACCTGCGTGGTGGCATTAATGGCTCCCTTGGCAGAGGGGGAGGAATTAGGGTGCCATAGGATAATCATTTGTGTTGACCAAGGTTTGCATGATGTTTCCCCAGGCTTGGCACAGCAAGCATTGAATGCCTTTTACTTGTTTCTTTTTAAAAACACTTGTAATGTGGGCATAGAGATACTGCACCTTTGGAAAGATCTTTTCCAAAAGCTTTTCTGCAAAGAATGCTGTAAGTTTTCAAATGGTGACTTTCTATATCTAAACAGCAACATAAAGCTGATGTTGACATTTCACGACCAGTGTAAGCTGACTGGCCCTTCTTCCTTCTTCTGAAGAGGAAGGTGATCCCAGCTGTGCGTTGCTGCTCATTTCTGTCCTTGTGGCACTCCCTTGCTTTTTGCACACAACTTCATGACTTGCGTTCAAAGATGATCTGGATCGAAACTGTTTAGGTCAGACTAGTTCACTGCACAAATGTTTGTGTTGGTTCAAGGGACTGGGATGGTATAAGTGTGGGAATAAGCCAGGCAGAAAGGGACTGACTTTCAGGCTCTGGTTACTGAGCCAAGTTTACTCTGACGTAACTTCGCTGTGCTGACAAGAAGCAGCCTAACCTCTCTCTCACCAGTGGGGCTTTCTGCTTTTTTGCACCACTCTCTCCAATGCGTGCCAGCTCTAGTAGTTACTGAGCTGCATAATAAGCCCCGACCAGGAAATTAATCCAGCTAAAAATTAACCTAGGCTGAAACTGGGCTGATCCTTTTAGCAGCAGGCAGACTTTATACTACATTGAAGTGATCATATGCTTGCAGTTTCTATGTAGTCTTGTTGTATGTTGACTTAAAAAGTAGTTATGGAGTTGCAGTTAAAGGATGTGAAGAAATATCAGCTAAATGCACAACTAGGTATTGGATTTACAGAGATGGTTTCAGACTTGCTTCTTCTATGACTGAGGCTGAACTGGTGAGGTAGTTTCAGGGTTTGCACTGTACATGCACAGCACTTCTGGATTGAGCATTCTTGATTTTAGTCTTTGACCAAGCTCCAGCTCATATTTCCAGTAATTTCTTTGCTGACTAACAGGACTGATTTCTAGGGTTTTCTAAAAGCAAAAATCTTACTGTTATGCAAAAGTTTTAGTTGTTCATATATTTATTCTTTTGCTGCAGTTTATAAGAGTTCTTTCTGTGCTAAGATTTGATTATTTAAGGTGTTTTATTAATAAAACTTTACTTTTTTAGACTTACAATAGCAGCATTGGGAGAAAAGCTTAATGATTACTGGAATGAGATGAAAACTAAGAAAACCAAAGAATATCCATTAGCTTTGCCAGTTGAGGAGATACAGTGAGTATCACTTGCAAATAGAAGAATTGTACATACTGTTAATACTGTTTTACACTCAGTCATGATGAAAATGAACTTTTCATGTGAAAGTTCTGGTATTTTTTTCTTTACAGAAAACAACCTGATCAGACATGGGTGCAGTGTGACTCATGTCTGAAATGGCGGAAACTGCCAGATGGAATAGAGCACCTGCCAGAAAAGTGGTACTGCTCCCTGAACCCTGATCCGCAATTCCGGTAAAATTAGATTTCAGTTAATTTCTAGATACTGCTTTCAGTTCTGATTTTATGACTTGCTATTAGCATGGATGTTAAGATTTTTCTGTCTTTCCCACCCCCCCCCCCCCCCCACTTCTTAACTCAGGAATTGTAATGTGCCAGAGGAACCAGAAGATGATGACTTAATACATCCTACGTATGAGAAAACTTACAAGAAAAAGTGAGTACTAGAAACTTTCTTACAAGTGTTTCAACAGTAGAAAAGGAACGTGAAAATGAAATGCCCTCTCCTCTCACCCGTGATATAATTGCAACTGTTCTGGGAATATATCCAGCCAGAAAATAGCACCCTGAAATCAAGACTTGATCATAGCAGTGAAGAGATGAATAGCACTGTTCTTTTCTCTGTTATTAGCATGTTGGCACTACATTCAAATTTATTTTTGACTTAGTACCTGTTTGCCATCCTAAATTGAAATCAAGATAGTCATAATGAAAGGGGCCTCTCATTTAATAACTACTAAGGAGAGTCTGTTTGAAGTTAAGCTAACTTTAAGCTATGCTAGCTTCTAAGTTCAGCAGAAAACTTCCATTCAGTAAACCAGATGTTCATTACAACTTTATTGTATCTAGCAGAGATAAGGAATATTGTGTTTGCTTTTAGATTTTGAGGTGGGTTTGGTTTTATAATGAATTAACATTTTGAATCTAAGCTCATAATTTTTTTTTCATTGCTGCTGCTGCACAGAGACAGGGAAAAACTGAAGAAGCGACTAGAGTACAGCCACCAGGTAACTCCAGAATTTTATAGAAAGCTGCCTTTGCTATCAGAAGTGTTCTTGCTGGCAACCTCGCTGTGCAGTTTGTTCAAATAGGTCAAGCTTTGACTTAGAGCTTGCTTTAGCTAGTGGCCAACCGAGTGATTCAACACCCTGCTTCATTTTGTTCTGATGGCTGTACAGGTTATGTGCACTATTGGTAAACCAAAAATCCCCCATCATTGCTGTCCAGTGGTGGAAAATACATCGTTGTTTTCTATGTAGCACTTAAAGAGTTTGAGAGAGACAAAGCCCTCTCACAAAATAATAGTAGGAAAGATGTCACTGGCTCATAAAAACCAGAGTTGTCGTAGCTGTAATTTTGTGAGGAGGCACTCAAATTCAAATTAAATGCAGATGCAAATCAACATGGTTAAGTTATGAGAATGTGTAGTTTGTAACTAAGAATCAAATTTCCTAACTGTGATTTAGCTTAAGTTGTTTTCAGAGTAGAATGCTAACCTAAGGTCAGGAGAAGAGATTTTTGCATCTGCGGTTTTAACCTATATACTTCATTGTATTATTTTCTGCCACTACTTTTACCCAAGTACAAAAGTAATTTCTAGAAGGGAAGTATTGTTTATTTTGAATTAATTATGAGCAGCTTCAACAGAGATGATTGTCCCATACTTCATGTATGATGGTCAGACTGTAGACAGAGATACAGCTTGGGAAGACATCTTGCCTGAGATTCTACATGGCACTTTAAAATAGCTATAGCTAGAGAAAGACTTGTAAGATCAGAAAGCTTCTTTCTGACAGCAATAAATCTGTGCACGAGGAGGAGTGTGCAGCTGATGTACAGCATTCCAAGTCCTCTGAGAAATCTGCCAGAAGTCTGTAATTATACAGATCTTGCTGCTTTCTAATATATTTTACGTCTTAGACCAACATGAAGGAAATACCTCACATGCATTGGTAGGGTTTGGGGGGAGGGGTTCTGCAGTCATTAAGTTAAGAGAATTGGGGTTTGCAGTGTGGAGCCTAGTTAGGCTTTCCTATTGCAAAATACTGAGCCTGGGTTCAAGGAGATCCTCACAGCATACGTAAGAAGTGTCAGTCAGAATTTTAGGTGTTGGCAGATAGTTAGAACTGCTTAAACCTATTCTGAAAAATCTACTAATGTCTGTTTCTTTTCATTCTTGACTAATACTGTCTTATAGATGAGTAATGAAATGTTTCTAAAAACACCTGTTTCTTCAAGTAAAGACTTCAAAACATTCTCAACTGTGACTGGAAAGGAAGCTGTTCCAAGATCACTTTTATCAGAAACTTCAAATGCTTCTGTCAAAAGACCTCTCCTTATTTTAAATAGATCAGTATCTTCACCTCATTCTGATTCTGATAACAGGTTAGTAAACCTGTACAAAGTTGATTCCTATTTATTTTTTAAATTTATAACTTAATGAAAGTAATGGTGATGTGTGTAGTCTTGTCTTCAGGCAATACGTGCCAAAATTCATGTCACTCCTGGGAGTATAGGAAGCAGTAGGTTGACTAAAGGTACCTAGAAAGCCTCTGAAGTACAGAAGTGTGAATACAGCAAAAAATCCTGTGAACTGGGAATAAAAATTGCTTCGTGGTTTGTCTGTTTAGGAGAAGACTGTATTGTGTTAACACTCAGCAGTATGTTTTCCTTCACCTCTGTTGGTTAACGAATGGGTGTAGCAGGGGTGTTCCCACAAGTACTGAGTCTGTTCGGAAATAGTCTATGATGGCAGTAATTCAGCGTGTGGATGTGAGCCACTTGTTTTTACAGGATCTGGCTACACATCTTAAAATACTATGCAGGGAGACATCCATTTCTAGTTATTGAGTGGTAATTTTAATACAAAAACACTAAACATAGTTTGAAATAAATGACTTGGAACTCTTTGAGCAATACAGTAATCAACTTAATATTTTGCTTCGCAGTCTTAAGCGGAGGACACCTAGTTGCGTGACACCCGTGTCTTTAAAGACACCTCGATTAAATGACAAAACATTCAACAACCGTGATGATGACGATGAAGATGTCATTATTGTAGAGGAGAGCAGTACTCCAAAGCCTTCAGCAGATTCTGACATTCCAATAGTAAAAACTGAATGTATTAATTTGGATCAAGAGGAGAAGCAGAAGGAAAACTGTGATGTCAGAGAACCTTGCAGTGCAGTTACTTCAGAATCAAAAAGTGAACAGCTGACCTCAGCGACACAGACAGAGATCCCAAACATGGTTGTTAAAAAGGAAGAGGTGGAGGATGACACAAATATTCAAGTTCCCAGGGCAGAGATGGAAACTGAACAGCACAGTGTTAATGGCATTTCTGAGACATCTGCAGATTTTGGAAATGAACTGAGAAATCAGCTGCAATTATTAAGCAGAGAAAAAGAAATGTACCAAAACAAATGTGAAGCATTAACCAAACAAGTAGAAACACTGGAACAGAGGATTTTGGAAATGAATAATAAGTATGTCAAAAAAGAAATGTGCCATCAGTCAACTGAGACAATTTCTTCATTTCAAGAAGACAACGTTCATGAAAGAAGTTTGGCGGAAGTGACGACTCTCTATAATCAGGCCTTAGAAGAAATAGCAAAGCTAAAGGAACAATGCAGTACCCTAGAGAACTTAAAAACTGAATGCAGCAAGTGTGCTGATGGTGAAAGTAAGAGTGAGGTAGATGAAATTGCTGTGCAACTGGATGATGTTTTCAGGCAACTGGACAAGTGTAGCATTGAGAGAGACCGATACAAAAGTGAGGTATGTTTGTTTAAAATAGTAATATCCCTCAAACTGACAAATAAATTATTTTCTTTTTCAGTGGGTGTTTCATAGCAGTTCTCATACACAATGTGTTGTGTAGTTCAGTCCATTAACTAGGTGGCTTGATAGCCATCTAAAAAGCGGGGAGAAGTACTAAATCAGCCTAGGTGGTTTTGGTTTTTCACTTGCACAGATAGAAATAAGCAAACCTGAGGGAGACTGCAAGCCTCTGACTGCCTCTGCCTGCAAGACCAAGCAGGCTTGGAGGGAGCGCATGTACGGTGGTTCAGCTGACAGCTGGCTATTCTAAAGCAGTTTGTCTAGCCTGTTGTAGCTTCAGATCTCACTGAAAAGTTAATTAAAAGCAGTCAACAAAATTATTTAAATTTGTGTAAGTTGTCTTTATTTTAATCCATCACAGTTTTGATACATAAAATTATTTTTATTTACTTGCCAGATTGAACTACTAGAAGTGGAAAAAAATCAAATTGCCTGTCAGTGTGAAGAACTCAAAGCAGAAATCACACAGTTAAAAGCTTCAATTCCAGAAGCAGTAGCACGTGCAAATGATTCTACCACCAGTAATGTAGAAGACTCTGTAAATTTTTCTGATGGAGAAAGGTATCAATTTTGTTCTTCCTAGACTATTTTTTTGGCTGGCTGATTGTATATTAAACATTTTGATGAAGGTCATGTCTGATAATCATATGTAATAAAATGTGATGTTTGGAATTCTTTTTTTTTTATCAAGTGGCTTATTTTTTTGGTTTGGTTATTTCTGTGAGCAGGGTTGGACATTGCGCTATAGAATGCCATACCAACACTTCTTAAAATATCAAAAATGTTACATAATTCCTAGACATGATTTGCAGAACAAGGAGAGAGAATGGAGGCAAGAAAGAGGGTGATCATTAGCTTATGTAGATGAATTTCACATTTATATTCTCTTTTTCTTTTTTTGGGGGGGAGGAGGATCAGTAGTACTCTACTGAAAAGAGTTTGGGTTTCAAACTTACCTTTCCTGTAAGAACTTATTGCCGCATACCAATCCTATGGAACTAGGTTGTATCCAGAGCATATCTTTGAACTAAACGAGGTTTTACAAGTAGAGAGCTTGGAGCTATTTGTTAGTAGAAATAGCAAACACACATAACAAGTACACACACCAGATGGAAGCAGAGATGAGCAAATAGTCGCACTGTCTGGGTGTATCCGATGGAATTGAAAGCCAGAGCTCAGCTGCAGGTAAAACTGGTGAGGCCTGTGAAGCACAACCAGAAGGACTTCTGTAAGCACGGTAGCAGTAACAGGAGAACTAAAAAAAAAATAAAAATAAAAAAAAATTGGGCCTGCTGCTCAGTGGGGCAGGTGCTCAGTAGCGACGAACAAGAGGTGCGGGGCACAAATTATTTAGTTACCCTCTATCTTTACCTTGTTTTTTTTACCCAAACCAAGTGGTAATCCTAGGGAGTGAAGCATCACCTGTAATAAAAGATGACTGAGTTAAGGGACGACTTAAGGAAATTCAACACACACAAGTCCATGGGACCAGATGAGATGTGTCAGAGGGCGGTGGCCAGTTGATGGAGAGTTGGCCTCGTGATGATATCTCCAGAAGGTTATGGCAGTTGAGGTTCCCAATGCCTGGAAAAAGGCAGTTGTCCTGTCCATATTTAGGATGGGCAGAAAGGAAGATCTCAACTCCAGGCTGGTCAGTGTAGCCTCAGTCCTAGGGAAAACCATGGAGCAAATTTACCTGGAAGCCACCTGCAGCCCTGTGATTGGTGATTAGGAACAGAATAACCAACATGGATTTACTGAGGGCAGATTGTGCCTTTGGAGCCTCATTGTCCTTCACAATGAGATGACAAGTTCTGTGAACCTTTGTTTTAGTAAAGCTTTCAATGTGGGCTGCCATGATGTCATGATAACAAAGTTTGTGAGGTACAATTTGGATAGACTAGGAGTTGGCTCTTAAAACTGGTCAGATTGTTGAGCTCAGGGATCAACACTGCAGCCAGTAGTTATTAATGCCTTCATTAATGGCCTAAGTGACGAAGCAAAATGAACTCAGTAGATTCACGATGACATCAAATTGGTGGGAACCACTGGTGTTCTTAGGGGGTAGGGCTGCTTTGAGGGACATTCACGTGTTGGAGCAATGGGCTAAACAAAACCTCACGGAAATTCAACAAAAGCAACCACAAAGTTCTGCACCTGTGCTGGAAATACCCCACACGGTTGAACAAGTTTGAGACTGCTCATAGGAAGGCAGCTTGGAAGAAGATGGCCTGTGATGGTGGTGGCCTCCAAGTTGAATGTGAGGCAGCAATGCACTCTTGTGGTGGGAAATCCCAGCATGCCTACTGGGCTACGTTGGCAAGAGCAGTTGGCCATGTGAGACCAAACATGGAGTATTTTGCCCAGTTTTAGCCTCCCTGAAATGTGAATGACACTGGCATATTGGAGCAGGTTTACTGAAGGGCCGCCAAGATAGGTAGGGGCCTAGAGCATCTGCTATAGAAGGGGAAGCTAGGGCCAGTAACCTTACAAAGAGCAGGTTACCTTGAAATCCTCTTGCTGTCTTCTGCTGCCAGATGAGAGAGTACAGAAAAGATGAAACCAGCCTCTTCTCACAAGCATCACAACAGGATGAGAGGAGAGAGACACAAGCTACAACAAGGGAAATTCTGTTTGAATATTAAGGCAAAAAAAGGGTTCAGAGTGAGGGTGGTCAAACCTTGTAAAAGGGACTCAGGGAGGTTGTGGAATCTCCATCTTAGGAGATTTTTGAAACCTGGGAAGGTCCTAAGCAACCTGATCTAAGTTAGTTGCGCTCTTGAATGTGTGTTGGAGGAGGGTAAGAGAACAGACTGGATGATTCTCTGAGACTCCTTTCAATCTATCTTTCTTGTGTTGTTCAATCTCCTCTTTATCTGCCAGCATTTCATTTTCTTATAGCGTTTGACTTGTGGTCCCTAAAAGAATTAGCAGAAGTTTGCGGAACTTGAAAGTGACTTGATGATGGCTCTGTGAAGTCTGGCTACTGGAAATGATAAAGGAACTGATGGTAGAAGAGAGGGGATGGGAGATTTGGAATCAGTTTGGTCAGGAATAGAACAAAGCAAATCCAGGAAAGAAAGCAAAAAGATACTTTTCCTGTACTATAACGTTTTCCTTATTTCCTCTTTGTATTTTAAAGCTTTTGAACAAACTACTCTTTCCTGCCTCCGTCTCTTTTCTTTTTCTTTTCTTTTTTTCCCATAGATAGTAACAGTTTGCGTTTCTAAATTTATTAAAAAAATGAGGTTTAATATTGTTTTGAGAAATAAAAAGGTGTTATGGAATAAAGGATTGCACCAGTGCTTATTTACTAACTTGAATAAAAGCGTTCAGAAATATTTCTGATCTGATGTTGGAGATCTACTTGGGAATATGCACCTTCAAAATTAAAATTAAAGAGGCTTTGCTTGGAAAAATTTTGGAATTATCTTGATATAGCTTTAACTGCATCATTTTTTTTTGTTGATTTATGGAAGTCGTGTACAGAGATTTTCAAGTACAGAGTATTAGTCCAGCTTTGATAAATAAAGTACAGTGTGTTTGAACATAAAACTTCCTCTACACCTAACTGTATCTAATTATTTCTTCACAGCCTGAAACTACGCTCCCTCCGAGTGAATGTTGGACAACTTCTGGCTACAATCATGCCTGATTTAGACTTGCAGCAAGTAAATTATGATATCGATGTAGTAGATGAAATTTTAGGGCAAGTTGTAGAACAAATGCATGAAATCAGCAGTACTTAATACCTTAAGATTTTAGCAGACTCTTACTTGATCTTCCATTATAACCTTTGTGTAGGTTCAAAATTGTATATACTGCTTCACTTTATATATTTGACATAGTTTGATCAATAAGTGTATATACTCTACGCGTTTGTATGTTCCCACAATGCAGTGGGTGTTATCTTCACTTCCTCGTAAAGGAATACTGTCAATATTGACCAACCCTGTTGTACTGAATTAAGAATTTTGCTTTTAAAATGTATTTGTAATTAAATTTGCAAATATTTTTATTATTAGGAACCTTAATACTTTTCTACAAAAGCCTTTTCGTTGACTTCCAATCTTATATAAGCATTAATACTTGGAATTACTTCCTCTTCTAAAATCTAAGTAGTGAAATATATTAAAAATTTTAAAAAAGGACCTTCCTTGATTTCCTTCTCAACAAACCTTAGCAGTGGTGTTGTCTACTCCAGTATTGTTTCATTGCTATTGGCAATGTTGTATGTTGCATTAATGGGATAGAAATGTAACTAGTAGATGAAAATTCTGGCCATATGGGCAATATTTGTGTTTTGCTCCCAAAAGAAGTAAAATTCTTTACGGGTTTTATCCTGAAAACTGATGATCTTTGCCTCCCTTTTGGATTTTTTTGGAAGCCACTGTGCATAGTTTTGCAGCATAAACAACTCAATGGGATATGACTAGGATATTTTAGCCTTTTCAGTGGTGGAAACTATATACTGTGCTATGTGATTGTTGTTTCCTACATCCAAGAACCTGTCAGTATTTGAGTGCAATCAAAGGGATCTTCAGTTCTTCCCTGTAGTTCCTGCTGGAACATGGCAGTGCTGGTTTGTAAGTCCAGGTATGTACTCCTACAGGGCTGCAGTGCTCAGATCTCACACATGGCTCTTGCCTACTTTTTTCCAAGTCAAAGGTAGCCAGTGGAATGGGAAACATCCTGGTGGACCACTGGAGAGGACAGGCTGGAGTGGCATATCCAAAGTTAGGTAGGATTCGTGGGCAACCTCCGCTCTGCATCAACTACCACCTCTTTAGACCTCAAGGCCTTTTTTTCAGGGAAAGCCCAGTGCTAAATGGGATGGATGCAGAGGTTTTCTGATGTATACAAACGCTTACGTACACTATCTCAAAGACCAGATTACTGCAGTGTTAAACATACAGTCTGCCTTGGAGCCTTGCAGGCTGAGATGCGAGGGTGCTGAGATTCATCTCCGAAACTTAACTTCCTATCAGAACATACCATGCTGAGTACGAATGAGTCAAACCACTAAATCCTTGACTAACTGGCTGAATGCAAGTGCTTTGCAAAGGAGGCATGTTTCCTTAGCTGTGGTGTTAACTACTACAGAGTGAGCTAATGCTGAAAATGCTCAAATATAACTTGTTTATGCCATCTTAAAATTTAGGCATCTTATAGGCAAGTTTGAGGAGTCTCTATTTTTCCTCTCTTTTTTTTTTTCTTAACTGTTTTATAGTCACTCTTTAGCCACTACTTTGATGCTTTAATACTCATGCAAAAACTTTCTGGAAGAAATGGTACCAAGACAAAGCTTTTACAGTTGCATGTTTTTCTTTAGAAGTCATCAAGAATGAGAAGAGAGGTGGCAAAGGCAGCAAATCCACCTTTTCCTCTATGGTGGTTTATGTCATCTGAACAGTGATCAAGAAAAATGGTTCTTGCTTTTTAAAAATTCTTTTAAAAAGTGTTACAAAACCATGAAATAGCGTTCAGTATGTTCATTCATAGGAAATATCTTTTTTTTAATAAAGCCAACATTTTTGGCTTTTGCACTGCTGCTGTCCTGATTTCACTAGATTATGTTCCTTTTAGTTGTAGTTCGGTCAGTTTATTTTGATGGACAGTATTTCAATATTAAGATGCTATCTATTCTGATACGCCAATAAGGGTAATGCAATACTGTTGTACTTTATAATGGGTAAATTGAGTGTTTGATTTTTTTTTTAAGAGGTGGCTGTAATATACCTGTATGACTTTTAAAAAGTTTATATTTTCCATTTATTGGTGTGTAGTTTTCCATTTCTTAATCATTATTTATTATGTTTCATCAGACTCTGTAGTTGAATTTCTTGTAGACAGCAGGCAAAATACAGCATATGTCTATATTAAAAATGGCAAATTTACCCTGTACATTTACATTTTGGAGAGCAGTGGACTAATGGAAATGGTTTTTATTTACTTGTTAAAATGTATTTTTTTGTAAAAAAAAAAAATTATATAAATCTGAGTTTGCTGGATCAAAACTTGTATGTGATCAAATGCAATGTTTTTGTTTATAAATAAATACTATGCAGAATGTCTAATGTTTCTAGCTTGTTTTAAGTATTCAGTCTTACAAGAAAGCTAGCTCACTGGTTTTGAGCAGAAGACTTGGGCACATCATGCATGTCCTCAGACCAGGTAGGCATCCGAACCGAGCCCTTAAAGCACCTGACTTGTCTGTTGTTGTTCAAATGGTCAGCTATGCATGGAGAATTCTGTCACCCAGTTACAGGACTGTGACTGTAATAGGATTTGGGACAAAGCTCCTTTTCAAGGCCTCATTAGAGAGCTCTTGTTATCTTCGTGGTACCAAGGCAGAAGTTGCAGTAATGCACAGGCGAGAGCTGGGGAGGTGGGGGGCCACCTGCCTCTTCGGTAAGCTCTTGGATCAGATGAGCTCAGCCCTCCTTGTCAAATTTTACCCTTCAGCTGGTTGATCGGTTCCCCAGCATGAAAGGCTCAAGTGTTTTTCAGGAATTTCGGTGGCAGAGGCAGACCCTTCTTCCCTGACTCCTACTTGATCGTTTTAATACAGGCAACTAACAGAGAGGTCAGCATGCAAGGTGGCGGTGCGGAATGGGCAGCCCCTGGCACGGAACTGTTGTGGATGTGCTGTTCTGCTCTGCGGTATCTGTTAACTGGATTTCAAGCCAGTTCCTAGTTTTGATATACGGGCGTGCATCCGTGCTTCCTGTTGTGCCAAATCAAGCACAAGGACTTGCAGTGTCCTGGCTGCCTGAGCCTCATGATGCTTGTGTGGAAATCATCGTTGCCTTCTAGTTAGAAGCCCTCTTTCCGTTTTAAAAAATAAAATTAAAAAATCCAACCTGTGTACAATAAATTTTCGTTTGTTCTTCTCTGAGTTCTTGGCAGTGGCGTTAGGCAGCGCAGTAACTGGTGAGGTCTTCAGAGTACAGACGTTGGCTTTAACCACATGGCCAGAGGTTCTTTTATTTCTGTGTTGGGGAGGGAGTGAGAAGCAGCAGCGTTGCTATAGGTGGTGTGGGAGGAAGGAAAAGTAGATGACGGTTTCTAAGGATGTAGGTTTTAAATGACTATTTCAAATGGAGACGTTTGCAGTTGAAAGTTGAGTGTGAGTATTGGTCGCCCTTTGACCAGTATAAATGTAAAACCATCTCAAATACAGCGGGTATTTTTCGTTTAGGGAGTGGGAAAGCAGTGGGCTTTTTTAGATTCTGTTTTATTTTGTTGGTTTTGTCTTTTTTTCTTTTAGTGGAAGCAATCTTAGGGGCAGGGCAAAGAAAACGAAAGCAAAAATCCTACCCGAAACTCCCGAGGCCGCGAAT